GGCAAAGACTTCCAGGTCAGCAGGCTCACAGCAACTTGCACCAGAATCCTACAAGACTAAGCTGAGGAGGTATCAGACTGCTACTCATTTCTAACAAGCCTTGTAAAAGGGCAATTTTAGAAGCTTCAATCACATTGTGCCAGTCTTCAAAGGGAACCTGCAGAATGACCCAGGTAACTACATTTTGATCGGTTTGATCTAAGTCCTGGACAAAGCAGGGGAAAAGCTGATCCAAAGTTCACCTGATAAGGAAGGGCTCCAGGCGAACACAGCTAGGGCTAAACAATGTGGCTGTGCAGAAAACATGCCTTGAAATAATCTCCTTTTATTATCCGATGGAAATTACAGCTGTGACAAATATAATGGAGAACGTTCTTGCAACAGTCTGCTCAAAAAAAACATGATAATGTCACCAAAATGTACCAAACTGAGGAGGAAGAGGTTGGTTCTAGAAGCATTCCAACAGAGCACAAGTAAGGGTGTCAGTATTAATCCCAGCCACCAAAAATACTCATCTACCCATCCTCCAGTGTAAAATCATCACCGACAGTACTTGCTGGAGACACAGAGGTTGAGTGAGTGGCAAACAAGTGACAAGGACAGCAGTCATAAAGACACTGGGGAAGCTGGGGCTGGGACAATAAAACATATTTTAAAACCAAAGCCAAGGAGCCAAGTTGTACTCAGGAACAAAAACCTCTGTCCACAGCCTGAGGGAGTGTCCCACAGCCAGCAAGGGCACCAGGAAGGGCTGGGTGAGCACAGGGAACAGAACACATTCACACCCAGTACAGCACTACAACAAACCAGAGACCAGTCACAGCCTCAGGGAAAGAAGCAGGACCAGGAGCTAGAGCTGAAAAGCACCATTTCACACCAGCTTTCTGCTCCCCCTCCACCCAAAATCATAGCATCATAGAAGAGTTAGAGTTGGAAAGGACCTTAAGATTAGTTCCAACCCACCTGCCATGGGCAAGGACACCTCACACTATACCATGTCACCCAAGCCTCTGTCAAACCTGGCCTTGAACACTGCCAGGGATGGAGCATTCACAACTTCCTTGGGCAACCCATCCAGTGCCTCACCACCCTCACAGTAAAGAACTTCTTCCTTATACCTAAACTAAACTTCCCCTGTTTAAATTTTAATCTGTTAATCCCTTGGCCTATCACTTACAGTCCCTAATGAAGAGTCCCTCCCAGCATCCTTACAGACCCCCTTCAGATACTGGAAGGCTGCTATGAGGGCTCCACGCAGCCTTCTCTTCTCCAGGATGAACAGCCCCAACTTTCTCAGCCTGTCTTCATATGGGAGATGCTCTAGCCCCTTGATCATCCTCATGGCCCTCCTTTGAACTTGTTCCAACAGTTCCATGTCCTTTTTATGTTGAGGACACCAGAACTGCACACGAGGTCTCACAAGAGCAGAGTAGGAGGGGCAGGATCCCCTCCTTCGACCTGCTGGTCACGCTCCTTATGATGCAGCCCAGGATACGGTTGGCTTTCTGGGCTGCAAGCGCACACTGCCTGCTCATGTTAAGTTTCTCATTGACCAACACCCCCAAGTCCTTCTCCACAGGGCTGCTCTGAATCTCTTCTCTGCCCAACCTGTAGCTTGCCTGGGATTGCCCTGACCCACGTGTAGGACTTTTCACTTGGCATGATTAAACTTCATAAGGTTGGCATCAGCTCACCTCATAAGCATATCAAGGTCCTTCTGGATGGCATTCCTTCCCTCCAGCATATCAACTGAACCACACAGCTTGGCCTCATCGGCAAACTTTCTGAGGGCCCATTCAATCCCACTGCTCACGTCACCGACAAAGATGTTGAACAAGACTGGTCCCAACACCGATCCCTGAGGGACACCACTCGTTACTGGTCTCCAGCTGGACATTCAGCCATTGACCACAACTCTTTGTGTGCGGCCAACCAGCCAGTTCTTTATCCACTAAGTGGTCCATCTATCAAATTGATGTCTCTCCGGTTTAGAGACAAGGATGCCACATGGGACAGTGTTGAACGCTTTGCACAAGTCCAGGTAGGTGACGTCAACTGCTCTGCCCCTGTCCATCAGTTCTATAGCCCATCATAAAAGGCCACCAAATTGGTCAGGCACAATTTCCCTTTAGTGAAGCCATGTTGGCTGTCACCAACCACCTCGGTGTTTTTCATGTGCCTTAGCATGCCTTCCAGGAGAATCTGCTCCATGATCTTGCCAGGCACAGAGGTGAGACTAAGTGGTCTGTAGTTTCCCGGGTCTTACAATTTTCTCTTCTTGAAAATGGGGGTTATATTTCTCTTTTTTCCAGTTGTCAGGATCTTCACCTGACTGCCATGATTTTTCAAATATGAAGGACAGGGGCTTAGCAACTTCATTCGCCAGCTCCTCTGGGACTCATGGGTGAATTTCAGCAGGTCCCATGGACTTGTATACACTCAGGTTCTTAAGATGGTCCTGAACCTGATCCTCTCCTACAGTGGGCCTAAGGTCTTCATTCTCACAGTCCCTGCATCTGCCTTCCAAGACTTGGGAGGTGTGGTCGGAGCATTTGCCAGTGGCAAAAAAGTCATTAAGAACCTCAGCCCTCTCCAATCAAGGGTAGCCAGTTCTGATAGCTTCCGGGGAGGTCCCACGTTGTCCCTAGTCTATCTTTTATTTGCTACGTACCTATAAAATCCCTTTCCTGTTACCTTTCACAACCCTAGCCAAGTTTAATTCTAACTGGGCCTTAGCTTTCCTAACCTGGTACCTAGCTAGCTTCCTGCACAACAACCCTGTGTTCTTCCCAGGCTGCCTATCCTTGTTTCCACCTTTTATATGCCTCTTTTTTGCTCCTAAATTTCCTCATCAGCTCCTTATCCATCCAAGGAGGTCTCCTGGCCCTCCTGCTCCATTTCCCTTCCCAGTCTGGACACAACACTCCTGAGCTTGTAGCAGGTGATCCTTGAATATCAACCAACAGTCTTGGATCCCCCTGCCCTCTAGGGGCTATATCCCATGGAACCTTACTAAGCAGGTTCCTGAAGAGGCCAAAGTCTGCTCTCTTGAAGTCCAGGGCAGTGAGCTTGCTGCACGTTCTTCTCACTGTCCTGAGGATCTCAACTTGACCTTCTCACGATTGCTACAGCCAAGGCTTCCCTGGAGCATCACATTTCCAACCAGCCCCTCCCTGTTGGTGAGCACGAGGTCAAGCATGGTACCTCTCCTTGTCAGCTCCTCTATTACTTGCAGAAGGAAGTTGTCTTCCACACAATCAAGGAACCTCCTGGATTGCTTATGCTGGGCCCTACCGTCCCTCTAACAGAGATCAGGGTGGTTGAAGTCCCCCATGAGGACAAGGGCCTGTGAGAGTGAGGCTTTTCCTATCTGTCTATAGAGTGCTTCATCCACAGACTCTCCTTGATCAGGCAGCCTGTAACAGATCCCCACAGTAATGTCTCACATAGCTATATTACCTTTAACCCTGACCCACAAACTCTCAGTTGACTGCTCACCTGTCCCCAGACAGAGTTCCATACTCTCCAGCCTATCACTAACATAAATAGCAACTCCCCCACCCCATCTGCTGGGCCTGTCTTTTCTAAAGAGCCTGTAACCTTCCATTCCAACACTCCAGTCATAGGAGCCATCTCACCATGTTTCTGTGATACCTATTATATCATACCCCTGTAGACGTGCACACATCTCTAATTTCTCTTGTTTGTTCCCCATGCTACAGGCGTTTGTATAGAGTCATCTGAGCCGAGCTCCAAACAAAGCCGGCTCATTGGCTGGAGCAGTTGAAATGTCTCTGCATTGCTCCGAGCATTTATTATAGGTGCTGGCAACTGACAGCACCTATGTGTTGGGGTGTCTTGGGATGGAATGATGCCCCCCTCCCCCAACACATCTTGTTTAAAGCTTTTTTGACCAGCATGGCAAGCCTCCTACCAAAACCACTCTTCCCCTTTAGACCAGCTCCACCAGCCTCCAGTAGACCTGGCCTCCCAAATTGAGTCCCATGATACCCAAACCCTTGACTATGGCACCACTGTTCTAACCTTTTATTAACCTGGCAAATATGCCTAGCTTTTTAAGGTCCTCCCCTTTATCCTGGATAATTGATGAAAAAACTATCATCTGAGCTCCAGAGCCCCTAACCACCTCTCCCAGGGCTCTGTAGTCCTTAATGTTCTCCGGGCTACTGATATCTATATCACTAGCACCCACACGGATGACTATAAGTGGGTAATAGTCAGTGGGACTTACTAGACCAGGCAGCCTCTCTACAAAATCCCTGATCTGAGCCCCTGGTCAGCAACACACCTCTCTTGAGACTGGGTCACGCTGACAGATGGGTGCCTCTGTGCCTTTCAAAATAGAATCCCCTACTACTATGACCCGCTGCATTTTCCTGGTGGCAGCTGTAGTGATCCTCTTTACTGGTGCATCAGCCAATTGTTTATGTAGTTAGATGTGTGTTTCCTCATTAGCCCCTTGCAGAACTGCAAAGTGGTTCTGGGTGAAGACATCAGATGGCGTTTGGGATCAAAACCGATCTGACGGGGTCAGATGGTGACCCCATCTGGTGGTGTCAAAACGGGGTTTGGCAAAAATAAAATTATATTGGCCCAGGTTTTTCTAGTGACATGAAAAAAAAAAAATCTTCCTTCTGGGTTGAACAAAACTTTTCTTTCTATCCAAATTGAAGTACTCTGCTTCTTCTTCCATGTCTCTGACAAAAAGAAAAGAAAGGACAGTGCTGCCGGCAGTAGCAGTGCAGAGGAGCAGGAGATGCTGCACTGCTTGGCCAGCTCCGCAAGAGCCAGAGAAGGAAAACAGATAAGCTGCTTGTGGCTTCACAGTCAGGCACTCAGCAGGTCCCAATCCCTGCTCCACAAAGCATTTATGGCTTTGTGGAGAAACCCAAGACAAAACATAAATACCTTTAAAAAAATACCCTCTGGTGCAAGAATCAGCCCCCTTTCAAGGGATGGGTTTTTGCCTTCTCTGGTGCTCAAGACGGCTGTTCTTCCCACTTCAGGGGGCAAAGAGCCCAAAACTTTTTCACTAATTCCACTAAATGCTCCCAATCCTGAAAAAAGTCCACTCACTGTGGTATCAGTGACAGTGCTGTCCCCGTATCCTTTTAAAAAGCTGGAGCTGGATGGATGCAGCCTTTTTTGTCAGGGAGACTCCAGAGAGGAGCCACAAAAATTATTCACGACAGGCAGATCCTACCAGTGTGCTCTGTGGAGTTGCCCATCTTATCAAAAGTAAAATCAATATAAATCAATTAATTCCCAGGGAGGAAATTCACAGGCAATACAAGACCAACCTGCTCTAGTGGAAGGTGCCCCTGCCCATGGCAGGGAGTTGGAACTAGATGATCTTTAAGGTCCTTTCCAACCCAAACCATTCTATGATCTTAGCAGAAATGCATTTTCCCCCACAAGAGCCCCACAAGCTCTGCTCTCCCCCTCCAATGGGTGCTGGTTCACCTGTGCCGTTGGCCATGCCAGCAACCTGCGTGCTCTTGCCCTGCTGCCGGTGCTGGCTCCTGGCTCTAGGACTTTGCTCTCCACTCCCTGTGTTCTGCCTGGACACTCCAGACACATGTTGGTGTGCCCTGCAAGGGAAAGAAATGCAGGAGGTGAGATACACCAGGGACCTGCCCATGGGTCCCAGCACCCACCTGCCAGTGGCAGAGTCCCACGGAAGAGTAACCTGGGTGACAACAACCTTGCATTTGTTTGCAACATTCACCCTGGCCACCCTATGTGCCAAGGAACAACCCCAGGCTGTCATGGCCAGAAACTTGCTTGTAGCACCAAGTCAGTTTGCTCTGTCCACCCATGCAGCAAAACTCCCAGAAGAGACCCCACACTGGCTCCTGCACCACGGTGGGAACCCTCACTGGTGCCTCCTGCCCAGCTACAAGGCTTGTAGAAAAGCAGGTGAGGAAGGTGCAAGCATTTGCTGCTGCTGGAACAGATGGGGCCTCTGGCAAAGGAGGGAACAAGCAGCTGGGAAAGATGGGAGCTTAAATCATACACCAGATTGTGACTGGCTCAGGGGGCTTCTATTTATGCCACTCCGAAGCTCCCTTGCCACCATGACCCCAGCAGGCAGGTTGCCTGCAGCACCCCCCAAGAAAACTCACCCTCCGACCGCTCAAGACCCCTGAGGCAGCCCGGAGGCATTCAGGAAAAGGCTGGGTTTTCTCGTTCATGAAAAGCCTAGTTGTTATTGAAAGCGGGGGGGGGGGGGGGGGGGGGGGGGGGCGGGGGCGGGGGCGGGGGGATGTTGCAATGCTGCATCCGGGGCCAGGGGAGCAGAGGCGGAGCCTGGCCACTTCCACCCAGGATCACAGCCCAGGGCAGTGACCACAGAGGGTGAGGACCGTAGGGATGAGGAAGTCTGTTTGCCCCAGCCAAGTCCTCCCCTTAAAAGCTCAAAACCCGCAAACTGTCCCCACATCTTGGGGCTGGAGCTGGGAGGGGACAGAAACTTGGCAGTGACAGGGTGCAATATCAGTCATGCTACCCTCACCAGCTCCAGCAAGCCCTTGGTTCCTCCCACTGACTCCAAAGCCACTCTCTTTGGGAAGCAGCTCACAACAGTGGGCAGAGGAAGGGCTGGGATTGGGAGGAGACATGGGAAAGCAGGAGATGGTTGTCAAAAATAGATCAGAGCCATGAGCAGAGCAGCCCATGAGCGGGAGCTGCTGAGGTCGCTTCGACCTGCTCCAGACCTTCCTAGGAGGGCAGCCCTGCAAAAGGGTTCCTCAGAGAGTGAACTCACCCCAGAAACCCTGGCTACCCCTAGAGCATCACTGTGTGCTGGGGGTTTGCTTTGTCCACCAGCACCTGGGGGCTTGAAGCAGCTGCAGGTGCAGAACAGGCTCCTCTTCCCCTGGTCAGGAAGTGAAGGTTGCCCTTCAACTGCCCATCCATGGGACTCAGCAGGGCACAGTGTCACCACACACCTCCCAAAAGCTGGCCAGGACCCACCTCCCCACATTCACCCCATGGCAAGGCTGAGAGGCAGCATGGCCCCCAGAGCCCCAGCCAGAGGGGACTGGGGAAGTGGTACTACTGCAGGAGCTGGTCCCACTGGGAGCAGCGCCCAAGGAACAGGATGGATCTGGTCCCTGCCCTTCTCAGCACAGATTTGCTCAGAGCTGTCCAGACAGTTTTTAGAAACCAAAACAAGATGTTTCCAGGATGCCAGCTGGCCACACACAGTTGCCAGGCCTGAATTAGGCAGCCTGCTGCCCAGCCCAGCCCTCCTATGAGTGCTCCCATCTGGGAATTGTCTTTTAATAGACATGTGGAAACAAACCCAGCAAGGCCATGTGAGAGCAGTGGGGCTGGGAACATGCTCCTAAAATAAGAGTGGGGAAAAAACAAGGCAGAGCACAAATGGGAACAGCCTCTTGTAGCCATGCTGGTAGGACAAAATGGGGTGTGCAGAGGGCAGCCCATTACCCAGGCAACTGACAAGACCCCTGCTGTGCCCCATTGCCTGGGGACCTGGGGTGGCTGCCCCATCGAATGCTTTGCCCCATCTCCACTCCTGGGCTGGAGGCAGAGGGAACAGATGATGCCAAAGAGGAAATTGGTGTCAGCCAGGGAGACATAGATCTTTTGGCTCCCCACCTTCTGCCAAGGCAGAGCCCCCACACCACAACACCGATGTGAGGCCTGGGCATGAAACCCAGGAACAGCTACCTTTTCCCACTGCGGTAGCCAGAAGGTCTTGACATGAGATGCCAGCAGAGGTGGAAGCATCAGTCTTGGTCTCTCTCAGCACACCAGATCCTAAACTGCAGCCAAAGAGGAGGGAGGGCAGCACACGCAGGGGGTGTCAGCTCCTGAAACATAGAGTTGAGAAATTCCCCCTATGCCTGCAAAGGGGGGGAGGCAGCCATATCCCCAGAACCTAGCCCTCACACCTGCAGTGCCTGGAGCAGAGGTGGCACCTATGTAGCATCACCCTGGAGCTGGGGCAGAACAGCCCCTTGCCCCATGGCAGCAGGACGTGCAGCCAAAGAGATGCCTGGCTCCAAAACTCTGAACCCAGTTTATTCCTGTTACCCACCCCCTTCCAGCTGACCCAAGACCCATCTCCCAGCTTGTTCCCCAAGGCCCCAAGCAGCCTTTTGTTGTTGCTGTGTCACACCAGAAGTCACATGCCTGGGGATATCCTGCACCCACACGTGGGGCTTTGCAGGGCAAGGGGTCTCACAAAGGGAAATACTTCATCTGAGGGACCCAGAGTGTAATGAGTAAATTCCTGTTTGTTAATCAAATCTTGCTTGCTTAGGAGTTACTTGCTTAGAGTTACTTGCTTGCTTAATAGTTGCTGGAAAATTACGGTGCTTTGACATGTTGCTTATAGACCACGGGTATCCGTTAAAGTAAATGATGCATGGGGAAGGCGATAAGGAGCCTTCCTCCCCACACCCACCGTGAGACAGAATGAGACCCCTTATCTACAGGTCACACAGACGCAGAGAGCGCCAGGAGGTGACACGTATATTGGATGAAGAAGAGTATAAAACCAGTGACTTTGGGGAAGTGGGGTGCGTGCTGTTGGCTGAGCGGAGACTCCCCGGCCGCCCAGCGTTGTTTTGCTTGCTGTCGCTTGCTCAATAAACCAATTTGATTCATTGGTCTGGCTCTCGTCAATTTATTTGAGCCACATTTATAACACAGAGGAGTGTCTCCTGCCAGCCCTCAGGGATGCTCATGCCCATTGCTAACTGAGAGGTGACTTTTGGACATCACACAAGCACAGAAAGCAAAGGATGCTGCACTGAAGAAATCACTGAAGCTTGCACAAGCTCATGACAGGTAACAGTGGTTTCTCATGGATCGTAACACCAACGTGGCTCACCAGCTGGAGTCTCTCCTTAGGACAAGCAGTAAACCAAGCTACTTAATTCCCTGCTGTCAGAAGAGCCACCACAAGACAAACTGGGGGTTGTGGCAACTCTCTTGGCATCCACAGCACCAGCTCTCAGCTGGGGACCTCTGGGCTCTGCTTTCTCTCTGCACAGAGGGCTGTGGAATTTCACACCCTGTCACCAAGGTTAGCATCAAATCCCAAGATGACATTTGTTCAGGAAAAGAAAAAGAAGTCCTGACCAAGCAGTTTCCCTTGAGAGGACAGCATAGAAATAGCTGAGGAGCAAAGAATGACCCTTTTCTTTCCATCCTATGAGCAAGTTTGCCAGCATCCATCACCAAGCCCATGAAAATAAACATGGCTCTGTGTATAAACAGAGCAAACATCAAACAGCATTTCCAAGCACAAAGGACCCATACTCTACTCCGGAGAAGTCAGCTGCCTCCACAGACTACAACTTCTTCACAGGCTTTCTAGCACCTACATATAGCTGCTAAGTAGCTGCAAAGTCCAGCTCCTGTCAGGACACTGAGTACTCTTTCACCCCTTAGTAGAAGGCTTTAACACCTGAACAGCAGGAATCAAGAGAAAAAACAACAACAGGGCACAAACTGTGTTCAGCAACCTACCAATTTCTCATCGCACTCCCTCCTTGGGTGGGAGACAAACACACAATACGGAAGGACAGGGTTTCTTTTTAGAGTCAGAAACATTTCTCCCCTTCACTCATCTTTTGTATGTGCCTGGCAGAAGGAGGTGCAGAAGAGCTCAAGGTGTGGAGCTTGTTGCTGAGAGTGCTCCTAAGCCTGGGGCCATGCAGAACCTCTTATCAGGCAGGCTGCAGGAGCCCTCTCTACAGGCACACTTCTAACCAGAACATCTGTATAGGCTACTAGGCCACTGCCATGCTCTGGAAATATAAATAGGTGTTAAATTCAACGCCATGTTGACAGTGTGACATGTCTCTCAATAACCACAGCTCCAAAAGGAGCAGCACTGAGCCATTCCAGCACAGCTAGAAGGCAAGGAAGGGCACTGTGCCAAGCACCGGATAGCCTGGTGCCCAAGCAGCTAATTTCCTTTGGAAGCAGCTGTTATTTCCATTCAGCTTTGCTTGCTCTGCTTCTCCTGCTCTCCCTGGACCTTCCGAAGAATCCCCACGTGACCATCACCCGGAGGGGCACTGGGCTTCCCAGCCTGACCCAGTGCCTTGCTTGAGGCAAGATCTAGGGTGCCTGTAACCCCCATGTGAAGGGGATTACCCCTGCAGACCAACTGCTGTACTTGGTCACAGCCTGCCCCACATCTCCCCAACCAACAATTCCTTTGGCTGCCAGTAGAGCAACTGGTGGAAACTGGGCCATCACAGACCTGATATTCCTTGAGAAACAAATACTTCAAGAAAGGCTCAGGTCAGCTGCACCTTGGCTGTATAGCCAACCCCAGCACCTTTCAACTCTGCTGTCATCCAGGAGGTTAGCCTTCTCCAAACCTTCTCTGGGATGCTTTGCTGGGGTTCACTGAGAAATCCAGAGTGGCATCTGCTGCACAAGGACAATCTTGACACTTATCATCTGCCTTAAGGCTGCAGCAACCACTGATTAATGGACTGCGAGGCGCTACCAGCACAGGACCCTTACCTTGGTCTGCTTCCAAAGCAGTTTGTACAGGGAGGCTGGTAACACACAGTATGCTATAGATTGGAAGGGACCTCAA